GGGGGGGGGGGGGGTGGGGGGGGGGGGGGGGGGGGGGGGGGGGGGGGGGGGGGGGGGGGGTGGAGGGAGGGAGGGAGGGGCATACAAAAAAAATTGTACTTCTATGTTTTACCGATTGAGGAATGATGAAATATTTGTGTTTTAAAAGAAATAAAACTTGAATTATATATATAAAAAAAAGGACTTGAAAACCACAATTACAAGTAAACAATTTATAATACTTTGTAGTTTCTAAGCATTCCATACATGTATAACCATAAGTTCAGAAACTGACAAATTTACATCCTTGCCACCCGGACATTCCTCACTTATTAAGAGAGCAGCCTTCCTGCCAAATATTGGAAAAGCCCCCACCTAAACTAGCTGGGAAATAAGATCCTAAAACAATAGCAACCCAGTTGCTGAGATTTCTATACCTTTTTATATTTTCTTTCAATAAATCTTGTTAAAAGAAACTCTGGGAGAATCTTGATTTGAGTTAAAGTGGGCTTGGCAAGAGGGAATACTGCAGTTTACATACATCACAAGGTTAACAAACATCTAGAAAATGAAGCATCTGCTGCATATCATCTGAGAGAAGGAAGTCAGAAGAATTATGACCTGAGCACAGATGGAAATCAGTCACTGCCTTTGGCAGGAAACAGGCATCTGGTAAGAAGTTTGTCTCTAACTTGGATGATGTTAGATCAGTGTGAAAAGTACAAGGGTTCATTGATGCGACATAAAGAATTAACTGTTGAAAGAAGAAACACTTTAACAGTAAACAACATTAAGGCAATAGCTGTCATGATTTCAATTATTAGAAAGTTGAGTTAGTTTAGAACTCAGATGAGGTAAAATAATCAAAATCCAAGAATGAATGAACCAGAGATACAGGTTCTTTAAAGCTCAACCAAATCTGTGGAAAATTTCTGGACAGGAAAATGAAAAGCAGAGATTGTTATAATGTATGCTTAAAGAAGATAAACTCTGTGTTTTTAGAAACAATAAAAGTTATAGAAGGAAATAAATAGAGTAGTTGAATGGCTTTCCATGGAAAGATAACTATCTGAAAAACAACCAAGGTAATCTTATAAGAACAGTTGCAATCTTCCTGGAGGCCTCCGTTTTCCTTGCGTATCAGGTATTTCATAACTAAGAAGTGAGACTGCAGGCTATTAAATGCAGGATCAGAACACCCTCTCCCAACAGGAAGTTGCTGTGAAGGGAGAGAGGGTGAAAACATTTGTTTGCCATCTGAAGGAAACGGGTGACCCAGATGTCATAAAGATGCACTGAAGTTGGCAATAGTTTGGCAAGTCAAAATTAAGGATGAGAAGCACAAAAGTGAACTCCCATTTACAATTTTCCGAAAAGTTATTTGTATCTTCCAGGATTTTCTGAGTTTTATATATTTGCAAAGAATATTGACAGATTTTCACACAGACCTACTGTTATATAAAGAGAATTTAAAAACCCACCAAAATTTAGTGCTTATTTTACTTATTTATTTCATAGATAACAAATGATGAGCCAGTGTAAAAAAAAGTTACTCCTATCTTCAATTCAATATTTAAAATGGACATGGCTCAGCATTGCCCAGCGT